TCGAAATGTGGAGGGAAAAACCGGAGGACCCGGAGAAAAATCCAAGCAACCTCAGAAAGCGAAACGCAAACTCTAAATATACAGCAGGTGTTAGGGTCGGGATCGAACCCACGACCTCCTGTATACCAGGCAAGGTAGTTAACATCTCACCATGGAGAGAGAGAGACACACAAACTCCAAATATACAGCAGCAGGCGTCAGGGTTGGGATCGAACCCACGACCTCCTGCATACCAGACAAGGTAGTTAACATCTCCTAGTCACCGTGGATGGCACCCCCATACCAACTGGCGGTCAATCCGCCAGGAGTGGCGCGGGGCAAAGCAATCGCATGGTCCCACCTCCAGCCACCACCACGACCACGACCACCACGACCACCACAACGACCACCTCCAGCCACCACCACGTGATGTGGTGGTGGTCGTGGCTGTGGACAATCCCCCCATTCTTCACCAAACCCGCACTGACCAGCAATGGTGAAGTATAGCCAAACAGCGAGTGCTGGAAACCCCAAATTGTGTGATTCGTAACTTTGATCCTCACCCGGGCAGTATCGATAGTTCCAGTTCAATGCTCAATGTTATTGAGGCACGACTGCTGCGTGTTGTCTCGGTGCACTCTGGGACTGTTCTTGCCGTTGTTTTGCTGCTTTTTAAATCCTTTATATTAAGTTCACTTGCTTGCTTGCGCGCTTAGGACCGTGCAAATCTTTCGGTCGTTTTTTAACCCACTTCCCGTGATCCAATCGAGCTGACATTTTGCACACAGACTCGTTGTGCGTGACAATTAATGTTCGTGAAATTTTTTTCCTAAATTTTACACTTTTTAGGAAAAAATAAATTATATTTAATTACCAATTGCTTAATGGTGGCAGACAATCATCTGACCCATAGGTGGCAGCCATCTCAAGCCAGAGACGAGAGGACTAGCCGCCACGCATATAAAGGATTTATAGTGAAAAACTTTGTTTTTACGGGTAAATTTTTCGCAGGCTCGGTAATTGGTGTGCCGATGCAACTTGAACTCATACAGGGGGCTCCACTACGTACGATCGAGTTAGAAGTCTCTGTTCGTAACACGTTGCACATCGTGTGCACTAAACGCATGGGAATGGCTTTAAAAGCGGTATGATCTCCGGCAGATGTAGATGTCAGTTGTTCTTCGTCTTTTGTAGATGTAGATGCTACTGGTTCATCAAGTTGTGAAGATGTAGATGCCACTGGTTCTTCGTGTTCTGTAGATGCCACTGGTTCTTCATGTTCTGCAGATGTAGATGCCACTGGTTCTTCACGTTCTGCCGATGTAGATGCCACTGGTTCTTCAGGTTCTGCAGATGTAGATGCCACTGGTTCTTCATGTCCTGCAGATGTAGACGCCACTGGTTCTTCACGTTCTGCAGATGCAGATGCCCCTGGTTCTTCACATTCTGCAGATGTAGATGCCACTGGTTCTTCACGTTCTGCCGATGTAGATGCCACTGGTTCTTCACGTTCTGCAGATGTAGATACCACTGGTTCTTCATGTCCTGCAGATGTAGACGCCACTGGTTTTTCACGTTCTGCAGATATAGATGCCACTGGTTCTTCACATTCTGCAGATGTAGATGCCACTGATTCTTCATGTTCTGAAGATGTAGATGCCACTGGTTCTTCATGTTCTGTAGATGTAGATGCCACTGGTTCTTCATGTTCTGCAGATGTAGATGCCATTGATTCTTCACGTTCTGTAGATGTAGATGCCACTGGTCGTTCACGTTCTGCAGATGTAGATGCCACTGGTTCTTCACGTTCTGCAGATGTAGATGCCACTGGTTCTTCATGTCCTGCAGATGTAGACGCCACTGGTTCTTCACGTTCTGCAGATGTAGATGCCACTGGTTCTTCTTGTTCTGCAGATGTAGATGCCACTGGTTCTTCACGTTCTGAAGATGTAGATGCCACTGGTTCTTCACATTCTGCAGATGCCATTGGTTCTTCATGTTCTGCAGATTTAGATGCCACTAGTTCTTTATGTTCTGCCGATGTAGATGCCACTGGTCCTTCAAGTTGTGCAGATGTAGATGTCACTGGTTCTTCACATTCTGCAGATGTAGATGCCACTGGTTCTTCACGTTCTGTAGAAGTAGATGCCACTGGTTCTTCACGTTCTGTAGATGTAGATGCCACTGGTTCTTCACGTTCTGTAGATGTAGATGCCACTGGTCCTTCATGTTCTGCAGATGTAGATGCCACTGGTCCTTCACGTTCTGCAGATGTAGATGCCACTGGTTCTTCACGTTCTACAGATGTAGATGCCACTGGTTCTTCACGTTCTGCAGATGTAGATGCCACTAGTTCTTCACGTTCTGCAGATGTAGATGCCACTGGTTCTTCACGTTCTGCAGATGTAGATGCCACTGGTTCTTCACGTTCTGCAGATGTAGATGCCACTGGTTATTTACGTTCTGCAGATGTAGATGCCACTAGTTCATGTTCTGCCGATGTAGATGCCACTGGTTCATGTTCTGCAGATGTAGATGCCACTGGTTCATGTTCTGCAGATGTAGATGCCACTGGTTCATGTTCTGCAGATGTAGATGCCACTGGTTCATGTTCTGCAGATGTAGATGCCACTGGTTCATGTTCTGCAGATGTAGATGCCACTGGTTCATGTTCTGCAGATGTAGATGCCACTGGTTCATGTTCTGCAGATGTAGATGCCACTGGTTCATGTTCTGCAGATGTAGATACCACTGGTTCATGTTCTGCAGATGTAGATGCCACTGGTTCATGTTCTGCAGATGTAGATGCCACTGGTTCATGTTCTGCAGATGTAGATGCCACTGGTTCATGTTCTGCAGATGTAGATGCCACTGGTTATTTACGTTCTGCAGATGTAGACGCCCCCTTGCCCTGTATAGCTTTAGCATACTATCTTCTTGGTTCTTTCGGTAAAGTCACATCATAAAATAATTCTCACGACGTTTCGGCCACAACGCAAGCAGCCGTACTCAAGTGAAGAACAGGTCTGTCGAGAAGACAGCGTCTGAAGCTTTAAATCGAAATTTAGCATACTATTTGGGCAAGTGCTGTTAGCGAGCACCTGCTAATCCTGCATACTGCATAATGCACGGGCATAATATGACTTTGAAACCCCCCCCCCCCACCTCCTACGCATTCCACAAGTAGTGACTAATCCCATATCTGCATTTCCCATAAATATGCTAAATTCCTCTCGATATGCAAATTCCTTTGTCAAGGCGCTCTTCCCCCTCCAACCCAGCTTAAATATACACTCCAAGCCTGGTGGTGTTTCATTCAGACGCTGTCTTTCCGACAGACCTGTTCTTTACCTGAGGACGGCTGCTTGCGTTGTGGCCGAAACGTCGTGAGAATTTTATCCTATTATGTTTTATTTTTATTATTTTATTATTTCCCTTCTACGTGACTTTACCGAAAGAACCACGGAGATAACGAGCACCTGTTCAAGGCAACGGGGGTTGTGAGGCCACCACCACGCCGTCATAAGCTGCAGAGCCGGAGAGCCGAGTTCGACTCCCCGGCACGGCTAACGCCAGTGGCGATTCACATCTCAAATCGGTCCAGGGTCTCCTCCCAAGTAGACTCAGCCTCAAATGAGTAGCTGGTGCGGTGTGTAAACAACAGGGGAGACAAAGCCGGCCGGGCGTGGTGCTAGCCACACAACTCCCTCGCGTGCCGTGCCAGCCTTCACAGGTGCTGCTGGCTAACAGCACTTGCCCCGACCGTCTGTTACAGGCTACGAGGGGGGTCTTTGTCTTTGCGTGTGATATACCGTTTACATGTACAGTATATATATGTGTGTGTGTCTATGTTTACGTGTTGACACGTGTGTATTGACGTGCACTTATATGGGACTGGCCACACCACCTCCTCGTGTACCGTCCCGGCCTTCACAGGTGCTGCTCGCTAACAGCACTTGCCCCGACAGTCTGTCACAGGCTATACGGGGTATCTTTGTCTTTGTGTGAGTCTGAGAGACTTGGTGCTCGGACTGCAGCTTGCACGTCTCGTGCGTGCGCGTGTATCTATATGTGTGAGCATGCGTGTGTGCATGTGTGTAAGTGACAAGGGGGATCTTTGTGTGAGTGAGTGAGTGAGAGTGTGTGAGTGTGTGCGTGTGTGTGTGTATTAGTGAGTGAGTTAGTGAGTGTGTGCGTGTGTGTACAAGTGAGTGTAAGTGTTCAGGCTATGCGGGGGATATTTGTCTTTGTGAGTGAGTGTGTGAGTGAGTGCGTGAGCGAGTGAGCGTGACTGAGTGTGTGAGTGAGTGCGTGAGCGAGTGAGTGTGACTGAGTGTGTGAGTGAGTGTGTGCGTCTGAGTATGTGTGTTAGCGAGTGAGTGTGTGAGTGAGTGTGTGAGCGAGTGTGAGTGTGTGAGTGAGTTGTGCGTCTGGGTATGTGTGTGAGTATGTGAGCGAGTGTGTGTGTGAGTGCGTGAGTGAGTGTATGAGCGAATGAGTCTGACTGAGTGTGTGCGTCTGAGTATGTGTGTGAGTGAGTGTGTGAGCGAGTGAGTGCGTGAGTGTGTGAGCGTGTGAGTGAGTGAGTCTGACTGAGTGTGTGAGTGAGTGTGTGCGTCTAAGTATGTGTGAGTGTGTGAGTGAGTGTGACTGAGTGTGTGCGTCTGAGTATGTGTGAGTGAGTGTGTGTGTGACTGAGTGTGTGTGTGACTGAGTGTGTGAGTGAGTGTGTGACTGAGTGAGTGTGTGAGTGTGTGACTGAGCGAGCGAGTGAGTGAGTGAGTGAGCGAGCGATTGAGTGTGTGAGTGAATGAGTGAGTGTGTGTCTGAGTGAGTGTGTGAGTGTGTGAGCGAGCAAGTGAGTGAGCGAGCGAGTGAGTGAGTGTGTGACTGAGCGAGTGTGTGAGTGAGTGTATGAGTGTGTGACTGAGCGAGTGAGTGAGTGTGTGACTGAGCGAGTGAGCGAGTGTGTGAGCGAGCGAGTGAGTGTGTGACTGAGCGAGCGAGCGAGTGACTGAGCGAGCAAGTGTGTGACTGAGCGAGTGAGTGAGTGTGTGACTGAGCGAGCGAGTGACTGAGCGAGCGAGTGTGTGACTGAGCGAGTGACTGAGCGAGTGTGTGACTGAGCGAGCGAGTGACTGAGCGAGCGAGCGAGTGAGTCCGCTAGACTTGAGACTCAGACTGCAGGCCGTGGGCCTCCTCCTTGTCGTGGGGCCGCGTGCCGCCGGCGGCGGTGGCGGCGTTGCCCCCGAAGGCGGCGGCGATCTCCTCGAAGCTGCGGCCCTTCGTCTCGGGCACCTTGAAGTACGTGAAGAGGCAGAAGAGGGCGAGCAGCACCACGAAGATCACGAACACGTAGGGGCCCGTGAGGTCCTGCGGGGGCACACCAACAACATCATCATCAGCATCACCAACGTAGTCATCAGCATCACCAACGTAGTCATCAGCACCACGAAGATCACGAACACGTAGGGGCCCGTGAGGTCCTGCGGGGGCACACCAACAACATCATCATCAGCATCAACAACATCGTCATCAGCAGTATCAGCAGTATCACCAACAACATCATCAGCATCACCAACAACATCATCAGCAGTATCACCAACAACGTCATCAGCTTCTTGGTTCTTTCGGTAAAGTCACGTAGAAGGGAAGTAATAAAATAATAAAAATAAAACATAATAAAACAATTCTCACGACGTTTCGGCCACAACGCAAGCAGCCGTCCTCAGGTGAAAACCAGGTCAGTCGAGGCGACAGAGTCTGAGGACGGCTGCTTGCGTTGTGGCCGAAACGTCGTGAGAATTGTTTTATTATGTTTTATTTTTATTATTTTATTACTTCCCTTCTACGTGACTTTACCGAAAGAACCAAGAAGATGAATCCCTGCAGTCACGAAAGCTTTAAATCGAAATTTAACGTCATCAGCATCACCAACGTAGTCGTCGTCATCATCATCATCAGCAGTATCACCAACAACATCATCAGCAGTATCACCAACAACATCATCAGCATCACCAACGTAGTCGTCGTCGTCATCATCATCAGCAGTATCACCAACATCGTCGTCATCATCAGCATCATCATCACCAACATCATCTTCAGGTGTCGCTGCGAGGTGCGAGCGTTGCGCTTCTCAGCGCCGCCAACAACACCACCTACGCGTCAAACGATGATGACGATGATAATGACGATGCTGATGACGACAACGATGACGATGATGACAAGGATAACCATAACGATGATGACAATGATGACGATAGCGATTGCGACGATGACAACAATGACGACGACAATGATGACAACGATAACGATGACGACGATGAAGATGAGGAAAACGATGACCACAGTGACGACGATTACGACAATAATGGCAACGATAACGAATGCGACGATGACGACAACGATGACGACGACAATGGCGACGTCAGTGATGACGATGATGATGACAACGATGACGACAACAACGATGACGACGACGATGACGACGTCGATGATGACGACGATGACAACGATGACGATGGCAATGGCTCCGACGACGACAGCGAGTGAACGAGCGAGCAAAAATCCCCATGGCCGCCCACTTTGATGTAGTGGAAGCTCTTGCTGACGAGGAAGTTGGCCGTCCAATTGACGCAGTCAGCATTGGCGATGATGACGACAATGATGATGACATCAATGACGACAACGATGACGACGATGATGACGACGACGATGACGACAACGATGATGACATCAATGACGACAATGATGACGACAACGATGACGAGAACAATGACGATGATGACAATGGCGACGACGATGACGACGACGATAACTATGATAATGATGATGACAACAATGACGACGACGATAACGACGATGATGACAATGATGACAACGATGGCAAAGGCGATGATGACGACGATGAAGATAATGACAACGATGACGACGATGACGACGATTGTGACAACAATGATGACAACAATAACGATGGCGATGATGACAAAGATGACAATATTGACTCCGACGACGACAGCGAGCAAGTGAACGAGCGAAAATCCCCGCGGCGGCCACCTCGGCCGTCCAGTTGACGCAGCTGGCGATGGCGATGACGACGGTGATGATGACAACCATGATGATGGTGATGATGACGACGACAACGATGACGACGATGAAGACACCGATGACAACAACAATGATGACGATTATGATGACAATGATCACAACGATAACGATGGCGACGATGAACAACGATGACGACGACGATCATGACAATGATGACAACGACGACAACGACGATGATGACGAGCGAGCGAAACTCCCGGCGGCGGCCCACCTCGATGTACTGGAAGCACATGCTGACGAGGAAGTTGGCCGTCCAGTTGACGCAGCCTGCGATGGCGATGGCGGCGGGCCGCGGGCCCTGCGAGAAGAGCTCGGCCACGATGAACCACGGGATGGGGCCCGGCCCGATCTCAAAGAGCGCCACGAAGCCGAAGATCGCCACGATGCTCACGTACGACATCCACACCAGGGTTTTCTGCGCACACAAAGCCGGTGGGGGGTGGTGGGGGGGGGCGGAGGGGGGTTTAAGGGGTCACGGTTCAAGGGGGTCACGGTTCAAGGGGTTATGGCTCAAGGGGGTCATGGCTCAAGGGGATCATGGTTCAAAGGGGGTCAAGGTTCAAGGGGGTCATGGCTCAAGGGGGTCATGGTTCAAAAGGGGTCAAGGTTCAAGGGGTTATGGCTCAAGGGGGTCACGGTTCAAGGGGTTATGGCTCAAGGTTTGAAGCTTTCGTGACTGCAAGGATTCATATTATTAGGTTTTTCGGTAAAGTCACGTAGGTAAAAAATTAAAATTAATAAAAGTAAAATAAAAATCAAGACGTTTTGGAAGACGGTAGCTGGTGTTGCCTCCAAAACGTCGTGATTTTTATTTTATTTTTATTTTACTTTTATTAATTTAAATTTCTTACCTACGTGACTTTACCGAAAAAACCTAAGAATATGGCTCAAGGGTTTATGGCTCAAGGGGGTCAAGGTTCAAGGGGTCATGGCTCAAAGGGGTCACAGGTCAGGGTGAGAGTTGATGGGTCAGGGTTAGGGTTGCTGGGTCAGGATTGATGGGTCAGAGTTTAGCGATTGCACTAGGATCATAGTTAGGCTTGTGGCCAGGGTTAACATTTAACCCCTGACCCTAACCAGTGACCCTGACCCTGACCATGACCCCGCCGCCATGTGCCCACAGCCACCAGCAGCACGGCACCTGCAGGCTGAGCGCGATGGTCATGACGATGGCGCAGACGCCCATCCCTGCCAGGCCGACGAGGTGCAGCGTGCGGCGCCCGGCACGCTCCACCAGGAACAGCTGCACACCGCGGGGGGGGGGGGGGGGGGGGGAGAGGGGGCGGGGGAGAGAGGGGGGGGAGAAGGGGGAGGAGATGGGAGCGGGAAGGGGGAGGAGGGGGAGAGGGGGGAGGGAGGGAGGGGGGGGGGAGAGGGGGAGGGAGAAGGGGGAGGAGGGGGAGAGGGGGGAGAGGAGATGGGAGGAGGGGGTAGGAGGGAGGGAGGGAGAAGGGGGAGGAGGAGAGGAGAGGGGGGAGGGAGAAGGGGGAGGAGGGGAGAAAAGGGGTAAGATGGAGGGAGAAGGGGGAGGAGGGGGAGGGAGGGAGGAGGGAGAGAGGAGGGGAAGGAGGAAACAGATGAAGAGAACGACAAAGGAGACGTAGGTGGAGCATGAGGAAGAGGTGAAGGAGGTTGAGAGGCAGTATAGGAAGTGAGTCATCTCGGTCATCTCAGTCAGTTGACCCGTGGCACCTGCTGGGTCTGCCCCGTGACCTCCTGCCAGCGGGCGTTCGACACTTCACGTGGCCTCACGGTGCACATGGCCTGGCACAAGCGTCGTGGTGACGTCACCGCCACTCAGTGGCGAATGGCGGTTGTTGTGTGTCTCTCTCTGTGTGTCTCTCTCTTTGTCTCTCTCTTTGTATCTATCTGTGTCTCTCTGTCTGTCTGTCTGTGTCTCTGTCTCTCTCTCTGTGTCTCTCTCTCTGTCTTTCTGTATCTGTGTGTCTGTGTCTCTCTCTCTGTCTGTGTGTCTCTCTCTCTGTCTCTCTGTGTATGTGTGTCTCTCTCTCTGTCTCTCTGTGTCTGTCTCTCTCTCTGTGTCTGTGTGTGTGTGTCTCTGTGTCTCTCTGTGTGTCTGTGTGTCTCTGTGTGTCCGTGTGTCTGTGTGTCTGTGTCTCTGTGTGTCTGTGTGTCTCTGTGTCTCTGTGTTTCTGTGTCTCTCTCTCTGTGTCTGTGTGTCTCTGTGTCTCTGTGTCTGTGTCTCTCTGTGTCTGTGTGCATCTCTCTGTGTCTGTGTCTCTCTGTGTCTGTGTCTCTCTGTCTGTCTCTTTCTCTCTGTGTCTCTGTGTCTGTGTGTCTCTCTCTGTGTCTGTGTGTCTCTCTCTGTGTCTGTGTGTCTCTCTCTGTGTCTGTGTGTCTCTCTCTGTGTCTGTGTGTCTCTCTCTGTGTCTGTGTCTCTCTGTGTCTCTGTGTCTGTGTGTATCTCTCTGTGTCTGTGTGTCTCTGTGTCTGTGTCTGTGTGTCTGTGTGTCTGTGTGTCTCTGTGTCTCTCTGTGTCTGTGTCTCTCTGTGTCTGTGTATCTGTGTCTCTCTGTGTCTGTGTCTCTGTGTCTGTGTGTCTGTGTCTGTGTCTCTGTGTCTGTGTCTCTGTGTCTCTCTCTGTGTCTCTCTGTGTCTGTGTCTCTCTGTCTCTGTGTCTGTGTCTGTGTGTGTGTCTCTGTGTGTCTGTGTCTGTGTGTCTGTGTCTCTGTGTCTGTGTCTGTCTCTGTGTCTCTGTGTCTGTGTGTCTCTGTGTCTGTGTCTCTCTGTGTCTCTCTCTCTGTGTGTCTGTGTCTCTCTCTCTGTGTCTGTGTGTATCTCTCTGTGTCTGTGTGTGTGTCTCTGTGTGTGTGTGTGTCTCTCTGTGTCTGTGTCTCTCTGTCTCTGTGTCTGTGTGTGTGTGTCTGTGTGTGTGTGTCTCTGTGTGTGTGTTTCTGTGTCTCTGTGTGCGTGAGGTCCACAGTGGCCGTGTCGGAGGCGGCCGCGGTGTCTCACCGACACGACGGTGAAGGCGACGTTGACAGCGCCGGCGCCGATGGTGGCGTAGACGGGGTTGGGCACGCCGGCGTTGGTGAAGATGCTCGTGGAGTAGAAGAAGATCTGCGGCGGAGAGAGAGCGACATCGTCATCTTCGTCACCGTCGTCACCGTCGTCATTGCCATTGTCATCATCGTCATTGCCATTGTCATCATCGTCACCATCATCGTCGCCATCATCGTCATTGCCATTGTCATCATCGTCACCATCATCGTCGCCATCATCGTCATTGCCATTGTTATCATCGTCACCATCATCGTCGTCATCATCGTTGTTATCATTGTCATCGTCACCGTCATCATCGTCACCGTCATCATCGTCACCGTCATTGCCATTGTCATCATCGTCACCGTCATCGTCGTCATCATCGTCATTGCCATTGTCATCGTCGTCATCATCGTCATCATCGTTGTTAGCATTGTTAGCATCATCATCATCATCGTCATCATCATCGTCATCATCGTCACCATCATCGTCATCATCATTGTCATCGCCATTGTCGTCATCATCGTCATCATCGTCATTACCGCCACCATCATCATTACTGTCATCATTGTCGTCATCAACATCATCATCGTGATTATCATCGTCTTTGTGATAATCAGCAATGGCAAACGATTTCATTGGCATCATCGTCATCACCATCATTGAATCGTCATCGCCATCGTCTTCTCGTTGACAATCATCATTGTCATCGTCATCTTATCATCATCATTGTTTTATTTGTCATCATCGTCATCCCGCTCATCGTCATCATTGCGACACCGATAACACCGCCACTGCGATCGTCGACGCCGCTGCCACCATTGCCGCTGCGCGGTGTGTAAACATCACCACTGGGGAGACAAAGGCGGCCGGGCGTGGTGCTGGCCACTCACCCCCCTCGTGTGCCGTGCCGGCCTTCACAGGTGCTACCCGCTAACAGCACTTGCCCCAGCAGTCTGTTTAGATGGCTGCTGCTATAAATTTCCACGCGAACACATTCCTGCGGAGGGAGCTGGTAGGAACGTTGGGTTGCTCGGTCAATGGCCAGGGTCAACGGCGGCGTGGTGTATTCCGCAAATATGCTCGACTGTGAGGGTGGGCACAAGCCGGCGTGAGTAGGTTAAACGTTGAGTTTTATAAGGGCACCACGGGGTGACCAGCCCCACCCCCCATCCAGCCCCACCCTCCCCACCCAGCCCCTCCCCACCTTCCCCACCCAGCCCCTCCCTACCCTCCCCTCTCCACCCAGCCCCACCCCTCCCATTTTTGGATGCACGACGGACGGACGGATACAATAATCCCCTGTGGGCTGGTGTAACCAGGTGGTCCCTACCACTATGAGCCACTTCGTTGAGCTGTCATTTGTGGCCAGGTCCACTTCTGAACAAGAAGCGAATAGCTCAGTGGGCTTTTACTTGGTAAGATAACAAAAATGTAGATTTTTAAAATATTTGTAAAGTGATTAAGTTACCCTTTCCTACACTTTGCGCTCCTGTCGCTGTGATGTTCTGTGAAAAAAAAAAAGAAAGCTCAGTAGGGCTTAACCGGTAAATAGCTTTAAGTTGAAAATATAGTTTTACGTTTTTTGTTCAGTCATCGTCGTCGTCGTCGTCATTGTCGTCGTCGTCGTCATCGTCGTCATCGTCGTCATCGTCGTCATCGTCGTCATCGTCGTCGTCGTCGTCATCGTCGTCGTCGTCGTTGTCGTCATCATCGTCATCGTCGTCGTCATTGTCATCGTCGTCGTCATCGTCGTCGTAATCGTCATCATCGTCATCGTCATCATCGTCGTCGTCGTCGTCGCCGTCCCTGCTGCGGCCTCCCGCGCGTCTCCGAGCGCGAGGCCGCAGCAGCAAGGTGAGCGCCGCCGCCGCCACTCACGGCGTTGATGCCGGAGAACTGCTGAGACAGGTGCAGCACGACGGACACGACCAGCGGCTGGCGGTAGGCGCGCGAGCGCAGCAGCGACAGCACCGAGACGCTCTCCTCGCGCTGCATCTGCCGCTGCTCCTCGCGCATCTCCTGCATGTCGCGCTCCACGTCGCCCGTGCCGCGGAGACGCACCAGCACTGCGGAGCGAGAGCGAGAGAGACAGAGAGAATAACCGGGGCGGCCGCTGGATTCGAACCGCGAACTTCTGAATTCGAGCCTGCCGCCAAACCGCCGCTCGACGCCGTCAGCATCCCTGAGCCGCCGCCGCCGCCGCCGGCGCCGCGTCTCACCTTGTCGCGCCTCCTTGTCGAGGCCCTCGTTGATGAGGAGGTAGCGAGGGCTCTTGGGGCAGAAGGGCAGCACGGCGAGCTGCGCCACCGAGGGCACCATCGTGAAGCCGAGCAGCAGCGGCCACAGCGACTCGGAGCCCAGCAGCGACTCCATGCCCAGCACCTGCAGCAGCACGCGGCACGCGGCACTACAGGTAAAGGTCCCACCCCACCACCCCTATCCCACCGTGTAGCCCACGCTGGCTGTCGGGGCAAGTGCGCCGAATAAAGGCCGTGGCGCGGGGCAGGCCTTTGAAGGGGGGTGGGGGGGGGAGGAGGTGGGGGCGCTACGGTGGCTAGGATGTTAACTACCTCGCCTGGTGTGCAGGAGGTCGTGGGTTCGATCCTGACCCTGACGCCTGCTGCTGTGTATTTGGAGTTTGCGTGTCTCTCTCTCTCATCATCATCACGGTGGCTAGGAGATGTTAACTACCTCGCCTGGTGTACAGGAGGTCGTGGGTTCAATCCCGACCCTGACGCCTGCTGCTGTATATTTGGAGTTTGCGTGTCTCTCTCTCTCTCTCTCTCCCCGTGGTCGCGTGGATTTTTCTCCGGGTCCTTTTTCCCTCCACATTTGGAATCAACATCACGTGTTGAGAGTAGTTTGCTGCTCTACATTCCCACGCGATGATAAGCCACTAGGTTGAGATATAATTCTGTGATAGGCAGCAGGTCGCTTCTGGAAAAGAGCTGCATAGCTCAGTGGGTCCTGACCTGGTCAAATAAAATTAAAAAAAGTTTCATTTATAGTTTCGGATGGGGAGCAGAGTCAGTGAGGTTTCAGAGTGAGTTGACCAGGTGCAGAGTGAGTGGACGAGGTGCAGAGCGAGCGAGTGGGCGGGCCTTGCCTGAGCGAAGAGGATGCCGATGACGACGGCGAGCTGGTGCAGGGTGCCCAGAGCCCCCCGCAGCTCGGTGGGGGACAGCTCCCCGATGTACATGGGGACCAGGCCCGTGGAGAGACCTGCACCACCATCACCACCGCCACCACCATCACCACCACCACCGCCACCACCACCGCCACCACCACCACCACGGCCACTACCATCAATATCTCCATCACCACCACCACCACCACCACCACCACCACGGCCACCACCATCAATATCTCCATCACCACCACTACCGCCACCACTACAGCCACCACCACCACCAATGTCAACACCACCACCACCACCACGGCCACCACCATCAATATCTCCATCACCACCACCACCACCACCGCCACCACCACCACGGCCACCACCATCAATATCTCCATCATCACCACAGCCACCACCACTACAGCCACCACCACCACCAATGTCAACACCACCACCATCAATATCTGTATCACCATCACCACCACCACCTCCACTACAGCCACAACCATCAATATCTCCATCACCACAACCACAACCACCACCACTACAGCCACCACCACCACCTTTGTCAACACCACCACCATCAATATCTGTATCACCATCACCACCACCACTGCCACCAAAGCCAACACCATCAATATCTCCATCATCACCACCACAGCCACCACCACTACAGCCACCACCACCACCACTGTCAACACCACCACCATCAAAATCTGTATCACCATCACCACAGCTACCAATGTCAAGTCCACCACCACCAACATCATCATGACAGCCACCACTACCACAGCCACCGCCAATGTCACCACCACCATCAACATCTCCATCACATCATGGGACCTCCCTTGCCAGTATCAAAATATAACAATTGGTTTTACCCTTTCTGGCAACAAGACAGGTAAAGTCACGTAGGTAAAAAATAAATAGTAATAAAAGTAAAATTAAACAAAATAAAAATCACGACGTTTTGGAGGCAACACAAGCTTCCGTCTTCAGGTGGAACCGTCACAGCACGCTTGCTGTAATCAAATAAATTAATTTTGATTTTTTACCTACGTGACTTTACCGAGAAAACCTAAGAATATGAATACTTGCAGTCACGAAAGCTTCAAATCTAGAACAAAACAGGTGTTAAGATGTTAAAACACCAAACCGAAACCATTTCCAAGGAACCATGCCTCCATGCTCACCACAAGTACATGTGGTTAATGCAGATGTAGTGGGTTCACTGAGAGACACACACTAACTCAGGAGGCAACACGTTTATACTATGGGCCACAACGGGATAACGACATAAACCGGGTCAGGCCAGTCGGCACACTGCCTGACCCACAATGCCGAGCACGAATACCGAGGATCGAAGGCCAGAGGTCGCAACCGGGTACCCGATACCCGTACCCTACCCGATACCCGGCTACCCGTACCCGGCCGGGTACGGGTACCCGTTTGCGACCCTGGTGCAGCCGGGTACGGGTACGGGTAGGCCGTGAGTCACTGGTGAGTAACTGTTTGTCACTCATTTCCCACAATTCAAGTTCCTAGAATCAACCCACCCGCGCCTGCAACATGGCTTCATCCCAGAGGTCGCAATCAGGTAACCAATACCCGTACCCTACCCGTACCCGGCCGGGTACGGGTAGGGTACGGGTACGGCCGGGTACGGGTAGGGAATCAAAACCCGTTTGCGACTTCTGTCGAAGGCCCAGTGGAAGATGTAGGACGCAGGACTCCATTCCAGCAGATAGCCCTGACCCAGCCTCGGGACCTCCCTTTTATGCCCCCCAGCGTGGCCTGGCTCCGCCCTCGGCCACGCCCTCTTCTGGAACCTACCAGAAGGTTCTGGGCCATACCCCACGTGTCCCTTCTGTCACCTTTCATAGCTTTATTTTGGTGATTTCGAAAAGTGTATTGGTTTAGCCATGTTTGTTTGTTGTAGTACAGAGTTAGACTGATGGCCTTAATCTAAGTTGTCTTGTGGTTGTTGTTGTTTTTGTTTGACTTGCATTCCACTGGGATTTTTGCACACAGCGTTGGTTCTGCAATATTTTGCTGTCTTTTCTTGGATTTTCTGTTTGCACTTAGTCACATATTCTCTCTGCCAGCCACCAGCACTACGCCCCCTAGGGACCCGTTCCATGACATTACATGCCCTGCTGGCAGAGAGGGCTACTACACTCACAGTGCCCCTCTCTATCAGTAACTGGCGCTAGGCGCTGTAGTGACCCATTCTATGTCACTACACAGACATGATCTCCATCACCATAGCCACCAATGTCACGTCCACCACCACCAACATCATCATGACAATCACCACCACCACCAACCTTAACTGCACCCTCACCACCCTCACCACCCTCACCACCCTCACCACCCTCACCACCCTCACCACCCTCACCACCCTCACCACCCTCACCACCCTCACCACCCTCACCACCACTCACCACCCTTACCACCCTCACCGCAGTAGAGGCCCACGATGAGTCGGCCTGCGACGAGCGTCTCGTAGGAGGAGGCCGCCTTGGAAATGGCCATGAGGGTCCCGCCCAGCAGCGCCAGCGCGTTGTTGGCCATGAGGCAGTTACGCCTGCAACAACACCACCACAACAATTACCACAACAACAACAATTACCACCACAACAATTACCACCACCACCACAATTACCACCACCACCACAACAATTACCACCACAACCACAACAATTACCACCACAACAACAATTACCACAACAACAACAATTACCACCACAACAATTACCACCACCACCACAACAATTACCACCACAACAACAATTACCACAACAACAACAATTACCACCACCACAATTACCACCACCACCACAACAATTACCACCACAACAACAATTACCACAACAACAATTACCACCACAACAATTACCACCACAACAATTACCACCACCACCACCACAATTACCACCACAACAATTACCACAACAACAACAATTACTACCACCACAACAATTACCACCACCACCACAATTACCACCACCACCACAACAATTACCACCACAACAACAATTACCACCACAACAATTACCACAACAACAATTACCACAACAACAACAATTACTACCACCACAACAATTACCACCACAACAACAATTACCACCACAACAACAATTACCACCACCACAACAATTACCACCACAATAATTACCACCACAACAACAATTACCACAACAACAACAATTACCACCACAACAACAATTACCACCACAACAATTACCACCACAACAACAATTACCACCACAACAACAATTACCACCACAACAACAATTACCACCACAACAACAATTACCTCCACCATAACAACAACAATTACCACCACAACAACAATTCCCACCACCGTAACATCCATAATTATCACCGGCACAAAAATAATTACCAGCGGGCGTTTCGACACTTCACGTGGCCTTAACGTGAACATAGCCTGGCACTAGCGCCGTGGTGACGTCACCGCCACTTTGTGACGAATGGCGGCTGCTGTTTTTGTTGGCGAGGTGGTGAGTGGGCGAGGTGGTGAGTGGGCGAGGTGGTGAGTGGGCGAGGTGGTGAGGTGCGGAGGAGTGAGGTGGTGAGTGGGCGAGGTGGTGAGGTGCGGAGGAGTGAGGTGGTGAGTGGGCGAGGTGGTGAGTGGGCGAGGTGGTGAGTGGGCGAGGTGGTGAGTGGGCGAGGTGGTGAGTGGGCGAGGTGGTGAGGTGCGGAGGAGTGAGGTGGTGAGTGGGCGAGGTGGTGAGTGGGCGAGGTGGTGAGTGGGCGAGGTGGTGAGTGGGCGAGGTGGTGAGGTGCGGAGGAGTGAGGTGGTAGTTGGTGAGTTGGTGAGGTACTGGGCGAGTCAAGAAGGACGCCCCCACCTCACTACCCCCCCCCCCCTCCAGGCACGCAGGGGTCACAGAGGTCACAGGGGTCAAGGGATGGCTCCCTATTGGTCAACCGTGTTATGTACACTGATTAATTGGCGATTGTTGCTCACTCAGAGAAGGGGTCTGAGGCGCTGCTGCTGAACCTGGAGCGTGCCACTTAATAGGCGGAGACTTACAATCAGCCCCAACCAAAATTAAACTCCTGCCTGGGTGTTTTGTGTCATCAAACACTCCACCTCGCGCAACTTCCCATTGGCGATGGAGCAGTAGTTGTGGGGAGAGTGGAGAGGTTTCCGTACTTGGCCAGTGTGCTTATGACCAGCTCCGGATCGACAGCAGAAGTCTCACTCCGAATTAGTTGAGCGGCATTATATTTTCATTGGCTGTGTGGAAGCTACCTGGTCTGTCGCTCCACACGAAGCTTCGGGTCTTCTCGGCCACAGTTATACCCTCCCTGCTCTATGCTTGCGAAACGTGGATCCCCCTAATTGAATATCTGCCCCGGTTAGAAACATTCGGGCTGGCCTGCCTACCATCCATCCTGGGTTTAACCAGACTGGATTTTGTGAGGAACTAATAAATCCTTGGAAGGCCTGGACACAGTCCAATCAGTGAACGCCTCCGGCAGGCAACGCTGCGTTGGCTGGGTCAGGTAGCCTGCATGCCGAGCCAACGCATACCCAAACAGCTTTTGTTTGGCCAGATAGAGGGAGATAAATGGGCGCGGCATGGGCTAGAGAAGAGATGGAGTGATGTGGTACAGGAGGACGTGGAGCTGAGTGGAGTTGCCGATGACTGGTACCAGCGGTGTCAAGATCGATCTCTATGGAGGAGGCTCGTGAAGGACGCTGCTGGGCAGTTGGAGGCAGTCGCCCTCCAGTAACAACGGAGGGCGGAGGAGCGATGGCTCACAACAACTTAGCAAGTCGGCACAGTAGGGAGCACAGGTGGTGCATACGCCAGTCGGTTAACCTATGGCACCTGGGGTCTGTCCCGTGACCTCCTGCCAGCAGCGAACCTTCAAAACTTCCGTGACGGCCTCAAAGTGCATCTAGCCTGGCACAGGTGGCGTGGTGACGTCGCCGCCACTTGGTGGCGAATGGTGGCTGCTGCTGCTGTTGTAGTTGTACAGGGGTCATAGAGGTCAACACATTCCACGGGGCGGTAGGGGTCACCGGTAAGGGTCACCGGTAGGGGTCACCGCTCGTGGGTCTCAGGACAATACAAATAAGCAGCAGAAGCCTCCTTCCCGTGTCTGTCACTCTACAGGAAAACAAATACAAGCATATGTGCTGTATATCTTTTTACACATCTCATCAGCCGCACAGCCTTATGGGAGGTGCAGCATCTCAGCGGGATTGGTTCAGTCTGAGGAAAGAAAATCCTTGACCGGTTTCGACGCAACCGGGTCTCATCGGCAGAGCCGGGCTTCACTGCAATCACAGGTGGTGAACTGGCAGAAGAAGGGCTGCTAGATCAACGCAACATTGTATAATGCACAACGCAAAAGTCGTATAATGCACAACGCAAAAGTCGTATAATGCACAACTCAAAAGTCGTATAATGCACAGCTTCAGGTGAGCCTGACTCTGCTTATGAGACACTGAGCGCTGACGATTATCTGAACCCGTCCTGGGCCTTCTCCTAGGTCAACTCAGCCTCAAATGAGTACCTGGTGCGGTGTGTAAAGACATTCCTACTGGGGAGACAAAGGCGGCCGGGCGTGGTGCTGGCCACCCATCCCCTCGTGTGCCGTGCCGGCCTTCACAGGTGCTACTCGCTAACAGCACTTGCCCCTACAGTCTGTTTAGATCACTTAGATTTGTTGGCTGCTATAAATGTACACGTGATAAGCCACTACGTGGAGCTATCATTTGTGACCAGGTCGTTTCTGAAAAATAAGCTATCTCGCTCCGCGGGCTTGACCTGGTAAGAAAACAAATATATTTTCGTGATTTCCCTACCTCGCCTATCCTTGTCCTGTCGTGTGTTCGTGTTGTTTGTTGTTGTGACTTTCTCGCTGGTGCCCCAGACTGGACACGTGTGCAAAAAGAGCTTTATAGCTCTTCGGATTCATCCCAAATGAAGATTGTGATTCCCGTGAAGGCGATTAGGGGGCTGGGCGAGACGCTTTGTGTTTTGGGTCTCGGGAATGAGCCACCTCAAGGTGGCACTGGGGCATGTGGTGGGACAGGGGCAGTGGGAGTGGCTGGGGTGGTGGTGAGGGTGGAGTCACGTGGGGGGTGGGGGTGGGTGGGGTGGTGGTGAGGGTGGAGTCACGTGGGGGTGGGGGTGGGTGGGGTGGTGGTGAGGGTGGGATCACGTGAGAGGGGGGCATCTAGACAGGGGGTTAATTTCAGCCGGTTGGGTGAGCCACAGGAGAAAAATGTCAGTGCCGTATCCGGCACACCAGCTGAGTCACCTGCTGTAGGTGTGACTGAGTCACCTGCTGTAGGTGTGGCTGAGTCACCTGCTGTAGGTGTAGCTGAGTCACTTGCTGTAGGTGTAGCTGAGTCACTTGCTGTGGGTGTAGCTGAGTCACCTGCTGTATGTGTAGCTGAGTCACCTGCTGTAGGTGTGGCTGAGTCACCTGCTGTATGTGTAGCTGAGTCACCTGCTGTAAGTGTGGCTGAGTCACCTGCTGTAGGTGTAGCTGAGTCACTTGCTGTAGGTGTAGCTGAGTCACTTGCTGTGGGTGTAGCTGAGTCACCTGCTGTATGTGTAGCTGAGTCACCTGCTGTAGGTGTGGCTGAGTCACCTGCTGTAGGTGTAGCTGAGTCACCTGCTGTAGGTGTGGCTGAGTCACCTGCTGTAGGTGTGGCTGAGTCACCTGCTGTAGGTGTAGCTGTGTCACCTGCTGTAGGTGTGGCTGAGTCACCTGCTGTAGGTGTAGCTGAGTCACCTGCTGTAGGTGTGGCTGTGTCACCTGCTGTAGGTGTAGCTGAGTCACCTGCTGTAGGTGTGGCTGAGTCACCTGCTGTAGGTGTGGCTGAGTCACCTGCTGTAGGTGTAGCTGTGTCACCTGCTGTAGGTGTGGCTGAGTCACCTGCTGTAGGTGTAGCTGAGTCACCTGCTGTAGGTGTGGCTGAGTCACCTGCTGTAGGTGTAGCTGAGTCACCTGCTGTAGGTGTGGCTGAGTCACCTGCTGTAGGTGTAGCTGAGTCACCTGCTGTAGGTGTGGCTGAGTCACCTGCTGTATGTGTAGCTGAGTCACCTGCTGTAAGTGTGGCTGAGTCACCTGCTGTAGGTGTAGCTGTGTCACCTGCTGTAGGTGTAGCTGTGTCACCTGCTGTAGGTGTGGCTGTGTCACCTGCTGTATTTGGAGGTGAGCGCCCCCACCATGAGGGCGCTCACCATGCCGCCCACGGCGAAGATGGCGACGGAGAGAGCCCAGACGGCAGTGAGCGACGAGTGCGGCATGGCCACGCCGTGGCGACCCATCCACGTGGCATTGTAGAAACTGCGGATTATCTGCGACACGCGCAGTGACGCACACAGTGACGCGCGCAGTGACGCGCGCAGTGACGTAGTGACGTAGTGACGCACACAGTGACGCACACAGTGACGCACACAGTGACGCACACAGTGACGCACACAGTGACGTGCACAGTGACGTAGTGACGTAGTGACGCACACAGTGACGCACACAGTGACGCACACAGTGACGCGCGCAGTGACGTAGTGACGTAGTGACGCACACAGTGACGCACGCAGTGACGCACACAGTGACGCACACAGTGACGCACACAGTGACGTGCACAGTGACGTAGTGACGTAGTGACGCACACAGTGACGCACACAGTGACGCACACAGTGACGCGCACAGTGACGTAGTGACGTAGTGACGCACACAGTGACGCACGCAGTGACGCACACAGTGACGCACACAGTGACGCACACAGTGACGTGCACAGTGACGTAGTGACGTAGTGACGCACACAGTGACGCACACAGTGACGCACACAGTGACGTGCACAGTGACGTAGTGACGTAGTGACGCACACAGTGACGCACGCAGTGACGCACACAGTGACGCACACAGTGACGCACACAGTGACGTGCACAGTGACGTAGTGACGTAGTGTCGCACACAGTGACGCACACAGTGACGCGCGCAGTGACGTAGTGACGTAGTGACGCACACAGTGACGCACACAGTGACGCACACAGTGACGCACACAGTGACGTGCACAGTGACGTAGTGACGTAGTGACGCACACAGTGACGCGCACAGTGACGCGCGCAGTGACGTAGTGACGTAGTGACGCACACAGTGACGCACACAGTGACGCACACAGTGACGCGCACAGTGACGTAGTGACGTAGTGACGCACACAGTGACGCACACAGTGACGCACACAGTGACGCACACAGTGACGCGCACAGTGACGTAGTGACGTAGTGACGCGCACAGTGACGCACACAGTGACGTGCACAGTGACGTAGTGACGTAGTGACGCACACAGTGACGCACACAGTGACGCACACAGTGACGTAGTGACGTAGTGACGCACACAGTGACGCACACAGTGACGCACACAGTGACGCACACAGTGACGCACACAGTGACGCGCGCAGTGACGTAGTGACGTAGTGACGCACACAGTGACGCACACAGTGACGCACACAGTGACGCACACAGTGACGCGCACAGTGACGTAGTGACGTAGTGACGCGCACAGTGACGCACACAGTGACGTGCACAGTGACGTAGTGACGTAGTGACGCACACAGTGACGCACACAGTGACGTAGTGACGTAGTGACGCACACAGTGACGCACACAGTGACGTGCACAGTGACGTAGTGACGTAGTGACGCACACAGTGACGCGCACAGTGACGTAGTGACGTAGTGACGCGCACAGTGACGCACACAGTGACGCGCACAGTGACGTAGTGACGTAGTGACGCACACAGTGACGCGCACAGTGACGTAGTGACGTAGTGACGCCCACAATGACACAAATATCAACGATCCCCCGTGTAGACATAACAGACTGTCGGGGGCAAGTGATGATGGTGAGGTGAATGATGACGATGGTGATGATGGTGATGGTGACGATGATGACGATGGTGATGGTGATGATGGTGAGGTTGCTGATGACGATGGTGATGATGGTGATGATGACGATGATGACGATGGTGATGGTGATGATGGTGAGGTTGATGATGACGATGATGACGCTGATGATGATGACGATGGTGAGGTTGATGATGACGATCATGATGACGATGGTGATGACGTTGATGATGATGACGGTGATGACGTTGATGATGATGATGGTGATGATGCTGATGATGATGACGTTGATGATGATGACGTTGATGATGGTGATGACAATGATGACGTTGATGATGATGACGATTGTTAGGTGGATGATGACCATGATGACGTTGATGACGTTAATGATGATGATGACGATGGTGATGACGTTGATGATAATGATGGTGAGGTTGATCGTGACGATGATGATGATGACGTTGATGATAATAATGATGCTGCCGACGATGATGATGATATTGATGTTGACGATGATGACGATGTCCTGCTCACCTGCTCGGGAGCGTTCGTCACGCCGATGTTGTAGCCGAACTCGAAGGAGCTGAGCACCGCGGCACACACGGAGACCAGGAGCGGCGCCGTCAGCTGCTGCTCGCCATCAACAACAACAACAACATCAACAACATCATCAACAACACCATCAACAACATTATCAACATCATGAACAATATTATGAACATCTACACCAACATCAACAACAACAGCATCATCAACAACATGAACAACAACAGCATCAACAACATCATCGACAACAACATCATCGACAACATCATCAACAACATCGTCAACATCAACAACATTATCAACAACAACAGGATCATCAACAATATCAACAACATCGACAGCATCATCAACATCATCAACAACATCATCGACAACATCAACATCTTCGACAGCAACATCATCATCATCAGCAGCAACATCATCATCATAACAACATCATCATCTCGATTTAAAGCTTTCGTGACTGCAGGGATTCATCTTCTTGGTTCTTACGTCAAAGTCACGTAGAATGGAAATAATAAAATAATACAAATAAAACATAATAAATTCTCACGACGTTTCGGCCACAACGCAAGCAGCCGTCCTCAGGTGAAGACCAGGTCTGTCGGGGAGACAGCGTCAGACGGCTGCTCGCGTTGTGGCCGAAACGTCGTGAGAATTTATTATGTTTAATTTTTATTATTTTATTATTTCCATTCTACGTGACTTTACCGAAAGAACCAAGAAAAAACATCATCATCATCAACAATATAACCGACAACATCGACAACAACATCGACAACAACATCATCATAACAACATCATTATAACATTCTAGATTTAAAGCTTTCGTGACTGCAAGGATTTATATTCTTAGGTTTTTTCGTAAAGTCACGTAGGTAAAAAATTAAAATTAATAAAAGTTAAATAAAACAAAAATAAAATCACGACGTTTCGGAGGAAACACAAGCATCCTTCTTCAGGTGGAACCGTCACAGCCACGACAGCTGTATCAAGTAAATGAGAGAGAGCTCTTGTAATCTCTCATTTACTTGATACAGCTATCGTGCTGTGACGGTTCCACCTGAAGACAGAGGCTTGTGTTGCCTCCGAAACGTCGTGATTTTTATTTAATTTTTATTTAACTTTTATTAATTTTAATGTTTTACCTACGTGACTTTACCGAAAAAACCTAAGAATATCATTATAACAACATCATCACCACCACCAGCGGCGCTCGGCAGACCTGCACTACGCACCGGGAGCCCGTCACGAGGTCACGAGGTCACCAGGTCACCAGGTCGCAGCTCTTCAGAGAGACAACATCGCAAAGACGAAGTCGACGTCCAGGGCACGGCTCGATCAATCGATACAAAGGTTGGCGGCCCAGCGCCCTAACCGCTCCACCACCGCTCCCCGGTTTCGAGAGAGACGAAAGACAAAGATCCCCCGTGTAGCCTGTAACAGACTGTTGGGGCAAGTGCTGCTAGCGAGTAGCACAACCCATGAAGGTCAGAACGGCACACGAGGGGGTGAGTGGCCAGCACCACGCCCGGCCGCCTTTGTCTCCCCAGGTGCCACCACCGGTTATCTGAACCGGTCCTGAGCCTCTCCTAGATCGACTCAACCTCAAATGAGAACACTGGTGCGGTGTGTAAACATCGCCACTGGGGAGACAAAGGCGGCCGGGCGTGGTGTTGGCCACCCACCCCCTCGTGTGCCATGCTGTCTCGCTAACAGCACTTGGCCCAACATTCTTGTAAGGCTACACGGAGGGAGGGGGGGGGGTCTTTGTCTTTGTGTATCTGTTTCGAGAAAAAAAAAAGTCCACCGCCCCCCCAACCCAAATGAATATAATATAAATAAAATATAACTTCTGTAGCTGAATAATATTTTCTGTGAAAACGAGAGAATCATTCTGCAAGCGTCGCACCTTCGTGGAGATTGGGCACTGGGCCCCCTTCACCATCCGCAGTTTCGGATGAAAGGCTGAGTCCCAGGAGCAGATGGGATTCGTGATTTTTAGATGTTGTTATTATCGTCATCGTTGTTGTTCTTATTCTCACCGTCATTCCGCGTTCCTCGGCGTAGGCTAAGCCCTCGCAGTGTCTCGAGGCTTTTGTTTCCAGGAGGGTCCTGCCAGGTTTGTGTTTTCATCGCTGCCGTGCGATCACTCGCGGCTGCGGTGGCTTGGAGATGTTGACTACCTCGCCTGGTGTGCAGGAGGTCGTGGGTTACATCCCGACCCTGACGCCTGCTGCTGTATATTTGGAGTTTGCGTCTCTCTCTCTCATCATCATCACGGTGGCTAGGAGATGTTAACTACCTCGCCTGGTGTACAGGAGGTCGTGGGTGCGATCCCGACCCTGACGCCTGCTGCTGTATATTTGGAGTTTGCTGTCTCCCTCCCTCTCCCCGTGGTCGCGTGGATTTTTCTCCGGGTCCTCGGGTTTTTCGCTTCACATTTCGAATCAACATCACCACCCATTTAGAGTCTTCGGCTGATATAAATGTCCACGTGGTGACGACAAGCCACTTCGTTGAGCTACAGTTTGTGATGGCCAAGTCGCTTCTGGGAAAGAGCTACTTAGCTCCGTGGGGCCTTACCCGGTCCTATAAAAGTATAGTTCAGTTCGGAGTGATTTGCAGGTACATTTTTGTCCAGCATTGGCATGCGGTTTTGGTCGATATGCGGTTACACTGCGCATGGGTTCAGCTAACAGACTGTTGGGGCAAATGCTGTGAGCGTGTAGCACCTACGAAGGCCGACACAGCCTTCATAGGTTCGTAGCGCAGCATGATAAGCACTACACTACCGCTACACTACACTCACTCACGCACACACTCACTCACTACACACTCACTCACGCACACAATCACGCAACAATAACAACAACAACCGCCATTCGCCACTACGTGGCTTGTGCCAGGCTATGTGCACGTTGAGGCGACGTGAAGTTTTGAAAGCCCGCTGGCACGAGGTCATGGGGCAGACCCAGGTAAGACGGATCGACTGAGATGAGTGGCTGATGCACCACCTGTTCCCCCTACTGTGCCAACTTAACGAGCCTCCTCCACAGAGGCCGATCTTGACACCGCTGGTACCAGTCATCGACAAGTCCACTCAGCTCCACATCCTCCTGTACCACATCACTCTTCTCTAGCCCGTGCTCCGCCCGTTTAGCCCCCTCGATCCGGCCGAACAAAAGCTGTTTAGGCATGCGGTGGCTGGGCATGCGGGCTACATGAACCAGCCAACGCAGCCTTGCCTGCCAGAGGAGCTCATCGATGGGACTTTGTCCAGATCTTTCAAGGATATGTGAGCTCCTCACACAATGCAGCCTGGTTAAACCCAGGATGGATCGCAGGCAGGCCAGCCGAAATGTTTATAACTGGCGAAGTTGTTCCATTAGGGGGGTCCACGTTTTACAAGCATATAGAAGGGAGGGAATGACTGTGGCCGAGAAGACCTGAAGCTTTGTGCGGAGCGACAGACCCGGGAGCTTCCACACAGCGTTACGCAACCAATGAAAAGATATTGCCGCTCGACTGATTCAGAGTGAGACCTCTGCTGTCAATCTGGAACCGGTCGTGAGCACACTGCCCAGGTACGGGAAACTCTCCACTCTCTCCACAACTGCCCTATCACCAATTGGGAGTTGTGGGGGTGGAGTGTCCGATGGTACAAAATACCCAGGCAGGTGCTTAGTTTTGGTGGGGCTCCAGGTTCAGCAGCAGCGGCTCCAACTTCTCCTCTGAGTGAACCGCAATTACCAGATCATCGGCATACGTAACATAGTTGAGCAATCGGGAGCCATCCCTTGACTGCACCTGGGCATCGATCAGCATCCCATTGTATCTGTACCAGATGGAAATTCATCTGGTACGGCTTTTGAAGGCTTCACGAACTACGTGGTCAAAATAGATGTTAAATTATGTGGCAGCCAGAGAACATTCCTGTTGCACCCCAAAGTGAACAGGGAATGGCTCCGAATTCCGGCCCCGTAGTTTTGCCTGGGCCCGCTCACCATCATGAAGGTCCTTAATGATCATGAGCAGCGTGTCAGGGACTCCGAAAGCACGAAGAACAACCCAGAGCCTAGGCCTACTGATGGTATCATAGGCCTTGACCAGGTCAATAAAGCAGAGATGTAGGTCTTGTTGGAATTCCCTACACCTCTGCTGTAGCAGACGGCCAGAAAATATGGCATCTGTGCAGGACCGCCCTTTCCTTAAACCATGATGGCAATAGGTGTGGTGCTGCAGGTTCCTTTTTTGATGGAATTAAAGAGTGATTTGTGATTGTATTGAGGCAGACTCCATCTCTTCAGCAATCCGCGACCAACAACCTCCCAGCGAATGCTGCAGTAAGCCTCTTCATTCTCTGACGTGGGATGCTATAGATGATGAGAGTGGGCCTGTCGCTTTTTCTCAGCCAGCCTGAACACCTCCTCTGTCAGCCAGGGTCTCTGAGGAGGTCTGGACCATGTACCTGAAGCTGCCATTGCAGATGCATGAGCCACAGCTCTAAACCTCGCCCATTTCCCCTCGACATCAGGAGGAGTGGGGGACGATGCCAAACCCAGCTGCAAGCGATGATGAAATTCTCGTTTGCAACTTTCATCAGCTAGCTGAGACCATGTCACTATGGGTTTCAATGGGGTCCTGGGTGTACACCCACTAAGGGAGTGGAAGAATGGCAGTCACATCTTACAGATGACAAGTCGATGGTCAGTAGACAGATCAGCTCCATGGTAGGCCCTAGTGTCAAGGACATGGGCTCGCATCTGCTGTTCCGTCAATATGTAGTCCAGCAGATGTTCTTGCGTGGATGCGCTGGTGCCGGAACAGCGTGTTGGTAATTACAAGCCCATGGGCTGCACAATGATCTAGCAGCCTCCTACTGTTGTTATTGAGCTGATTTTGCCCATGTCTTCCAATCACTCCAGACCAGGTGCTAGCATCATGACCAACTCGGGCATTAAAGTCACCCAACAGGATGACTCTATTGCGAGGGGCCACTTTAGCCAGCACCTTTGACAGGAGGTCATAGAAGGCATCTGACTCATCGGCCTTGCCTGCATCCCTCCACGAATGTTCGTCCT